TTTGTTTTTCTATTAACGACTTTCAAGTTATAATCTATATTTATTATATAAATAATTTTTTAGTTTCAAGACCTCAAAAGAATTATGCAGTGGACAATATGGACTGGCAGTAAAGAAGGATACGCATATAATAAGAGAAGAAAACCCACCCCTAAATAAGTTTTCTTGATTTCAGATGCAGTGGCACTCTTGTTCACACAAAGTATATCATAATAATTCCTAGCAGACATGTGAGCTGCAAAGAGAGTTGCCCCGTCAATATCATTGTAATTAAGGATGCCATAAACGCAAAAGAGAAAGGAATTAGAAAAAAGAGGAAAGCATGTTCAAAGTTTGAATACCAGAGCCATGAATTGACCAGGCTGCACCTGCACCCAGATTAGCCCACAAATTTCTGCGTGAACTGCCGTTTCCAAAGCAAAATAATTAATTAACACACAAACTATAATCTGCAAGTTTAATTATGTGGTTGTAGGAGTGTGAATGTAGAAAGAAATAGAATCAATTAACACAGAATGTGGACGATTTCATAGTATAAAAATTGATATTTTCCAAAACACAGGTAAGTCAGTAGGAAAGATATGTAAAACCCCCCCTTTTTTTTTTTTTATTGTTTCCTATTGACTGTTGTTGTTGGGTTCAGGAAACAGAGAATTGCAAAAGTTATATATGTTGTTCCTCGAACACTCTCTTTCATCTCCACATCATGTTATTGTTGTGCCTTGATCATAAGATCAAATAAAATAATAATTAATAAACTTATCAAAAAATATCGATAAGAAAATATCATCGAAATAAACGTGAAAAGTTTACTTATTTTCAGGTGATTAACGCCTTTGCGGAGAGTAGATCAATCGGTGCAACAGAGATACATAAAACATGTCGCTCCCAAAATGCTACAGTTTTATAATAACACTCTATGGATTTGCACTACCCATAAAGTCACTTTACTCAAAACACCCTTCTTTACCTAAAAATATTTAGCAAAAAAAGTAAGGTAAGAAAGAATAGAGGAATGTGGAGGAACCTCTTTATTGAGCAAAAGGACATATCCTATTTATAGGACTCATGATCTTGTTACTCCCATTTGTAAATTAATAATAGGAATAAATTGGGCAATTATTATGAAATAATGTGCCATTAAATAAGACAATTAACCTACAATTGCTAGTTTGACCAAGTACTTAATGAGACAATAAATTTAATTTCTAAAATATATTATTTTATTTTTATTAAAATATTTAAGTTCTAACAATTTTTTCACTATTTTAATAAAAAATAAACTTTTTTTTTGGGTAAAGATGGATTATTATGCATAATAAAGGTAGCTAAACCTTGAACCTTTAGTTAGTGAGTCAATAATTCTTAATCCAAAATCAATAGTGAACTAAGTCTTGAACTATGATTCCATTGGAAGATACAAGAATTGTATCACACACATAATGATATGAATGTTGAGTTTTTCATATAGCTGGCGCGTTATGACCTTGCGCATGATCCCGATTTTTATGGGTGATCTAGAAAATTGCCCATCCAATTTTCATAGAAGCAGCCTCACTTCGACACCCATATAGGTGAAATTTGTCAAGAGTGCTCCCATAACTAAGACACCACACTCTATGAGTTACAAATTTCATTAAGAGTATAAAACTCAATCCTCAATTTGTTATGAGATAGATGCATCCTCACCTTAGAAATGGGACCCAATTTTTTTTTTTTTTTGGTTAAATATTGATTTATCTTTCAACAACAACTTCCCTATAATTCGTTTTTTCCATTCAAAACCCAATTCTTAGAATTCAGGTTGGGTACCCTCATAAGAAGTTCTACATTATTGGGTTTGAATCCCATTCCCCTCAATGACCACTAGACCTTGGACTATGATCATAGATTTTCCTCCAACTTTTGTTTTTGCCAAAGGCCTAGTTGGTGGTATAGTGGGTAATGAAGAGAATTAGCTCATTCTTTTTTCACACTTTTTCACATCAACCCACACATCTACTAGCTCATAAATTCACATTCATTTTTCTCAAATTCTTAATTCATAGTACCACAATTTTGATATCAAATCAAGCTAGTGAACCATCTTTTTCCTTTTCATACATGTAGAGACATGTATTTAAGAATTTGTTTTTAACTCAAACACCATTGTACGTTGTTGTACAATAGGAAATTCCATCACATACCCCTTTTCTCAAATGCCTTCTTATTTTTTTTTCATCATACACCATTATACCGTAATTGTGTAATAGGAATGCATATCACATTTATTTTGTTAAGCACCATTATACTTTATTGTATAATAGAAGTGCATATCACATTTGCTTTGTCAAGCACCATTATACCTTATTATATAATATGAATGCTATGCAAAATCTCAATTAGGTATCATTGGTCTCATCACCAATAATAATACATAGGGACATCACAATCCCCTACATTAGGAGCATCTCAAATATGTGATTCTCACATTCCTAAAATAATTGAGTTCATGAAGAAACTCATTTTCTCACAAGATTTTCATAAGAGCTTATTAGCTCATCTCACATTTTATTGGCACAAATGAACGTTTTTGGAATATATCAACCCAAATATCATGTCCATTTTTACCAAAATAATTACATGGACCAACTCAAGTAGCTTTTCACTTGAGTTCTCAAAGTTTCACCTATTTCATAAAAAACTCAATAAAATAGTCAATTAAATGCATATATTTATTCATCATTTTTTTAACCATTAAAAATAGTAATCATCAATTTATTATATATCAATGGTGTATATTAATAACAAAATAATTATAATAGATCATACATGCTTACATGAGCATTTCTAATTAAACAGCAAAAATAAGAAAGCATCCTCAAATTTATAAAGCCTTTATATCCCAAATATATCATATTAATATATTTGCTCCACAATCACATTTAATTCAAACGGCTGGTGTGATATACTCATTGTTGACAAAACCCCCCAAATTTATATGCATGCATTAAGAGCAAACGGCCAGCTAATAATTCTTATAAATATAGCCATTATAGCACTAATAATGGCCAAAATGCACCATTAATCTATTAATTAAGTAGCACAAACTTAATATGTATTTAATACCAAATGCTAATAACATGAAATGCTAATTTTTCCTAAGAATTGCACATAGAAGGCTGTTGAGTTTCACAAGAATTATGCATGTTTATGCTTTATGTTTTAGGCAAGCTATACAATGACCAAATACCTTCGTGTGTTTAACCCAAGAAAAATCATGAACCCATAAGTAATCATTCCAAGTTTCCATCATTTCTAGTATACAATTGGAATATTGGATAGTGATTAACTAATTATATAAAGCATCAGATATTGCAGAAGGGTCAGAAACTCATACCTGTTTGGTGCACATATATCAAGAAAAATCAAAATTTTCTATTATACTTACACAAGACCTCATATATTTTACTTTTGCTTTGCACATTGAATCGCCTTAAAATTGTTGTTCCTCAAACACTCTCCTCCATCTCCACATCATGTCATTATTGTGCCTCAGTCACAAGATCAAATAAAATAATAATTAATGAACTTATCAAAAAATATCGATAAGAAAATATCATCGAAATAGGCGTAAAAAGCTTACATATTTTAAGGTGATTCATGCCTCTGCAGAGAGTAGATCAACCGGTGCAGCAGAGATACATAAAGTATGTTGCCCCCAGGATGCTACAGCTTTATAATAACACTCTATGGATCTGCACTACCTATAGAATCACCTTACTCAGAACACTCTTCTTTACCCAAAAATATTTAGAAAATAAAGTAAGGTTAGAAAGAATAGAGGAATGTGGAGGAACCTCTTTATTGAGCAAAAGGACATGTCTTATTTATAGGACTCATGGTTTTATAACTCTCATTTGTAGGTTAATGATAGAAATAAATTAGGCAATTATTATGAAATAATGTGCTCTTAAATAGGACAATTAACTTACAACGGCTGGTTTGACTAAATTCTTAATGTGACAATAAATTTAATTTCTAAAATATATTATTTTATTTTTTATTAAAATATTTAAGTT